GATAAAACTTAAACGATACCCATACCTACTCATGTGCTAATAGGCTGTAAGTCTGCAGGTTTTTTAAGTCACAGCATCCGAAAAAGTGGAAATCTGTAATAACATCAACATGTGGATAAGTGAATAAGAGGGTTTAACCTCTGAGGGCCATGAATGTGTATACAGTGTGAACCGGCAGTGTGTTGTGGTCCAGTCGACAGTGATCTGAGCTGTTACAGAATAACACACAACACTGAACTACGATATTATGATACACATCTTTGTTTGTGTCCGAGTGTCAAGTCACCACATACCATCAGGACATGGACCAGATTTCCAGTGATGGAGTTCCACACTTTCAATGTCAGATTGTTGGCCGCCGTTATCACTGTGCTGTCATGGCGATCCCATGCCACCATGGTAACCTTCAGCTTGGTCACCTTGTCTTCCAGCGGCGGAGGGTTGTACTTCCTGAGGGGGAGAGCAGTGATGCCGTTCAGGACTAAAATGTAAGCCCAACTAAGGTCTTTCTAGTTTAGTTTACACATAAAAATCAGACACAGAGTCGTTGCCAAAGGTATTAGCAGCAGCATCACTCCAAAATTCAATAAACGGTAATCTTCACTATATCACAGAAACATGGAAGAAATCATCTAAATAAAAACTGAGCAGCATACTGCATGAAAAACAAACTCTGTGCTACTGCCAAATGTTTTGGCCATGACTGTGTATCAAATATGAAAATACTGTAAAAACAAAACAAAAAAAGTAGACGCAACAAAAAATTAAACGCATCTTTTTCTAACTACATTAGTTATAAGTTTAAAAAACTCAACTGTCCTTTCCTTTTGAGGAATGTATTCTATTTTCCTCAGTCCCTTTTTACACCGTTAATGAGGAGCCAGACCAATCTGACAGTTAGACCTTATCTTTCTGCAGCTTCAGATAACTATTCACAACCCCAGCTGTTCCTGTTTACATAAGAATGATGTGAAAATCAACACATCCAAAACATCCCAATACTTTTTGCTGCAATTCCCAGACTTTCTTTATTTTACAGACCGATTGTAGGAGCAATGGTTATAGATTTAACTCTATTAAATACTTTAAGTAACTTGTATTATCCAAGTTGAGGGCATTTAGGATTTTTGTTTAGGTTTTGTTTTAGTTGACCTCGTTGCTGCATTAGGTTTGTTGCGTTGTTCAGGCAACAAAGACATAAAGAATCTGTCAGTGTACTCTACTCATGCACCGTCTGGGAATAAATCTATACTCTGTCTAGGAGCAGTCAGGTAATCAATCACCATGTCACACTTTATCCCACAGGTGTGAAAGAGATTTTTCTTTAACTTAACGATGCAGCTTCTCTATATTATGCAGTAGGTCATTGTACTTTAAATACATAAAAGCACGTGTAAAACACTTCAAAACTCTGCATTTTTCATGAGAAGAATTCATCACACACTGTAGCGTTCAATGCAGGTGATTGATTATTTGAAAATGTAAACTGACATCATCACCTCCAGGATGATCCCAGCTCACAAGGTTTATTCCAAGCACAAAAGCACTAATGGGAAGGCCAGGCCTTGACAGCAGTGCAGAGACACATACCCGGGTAATTTGGTCTGCATGTCCAGCAGAATGCTCTTCCAGCCCTGAGGGTGAAGCTGCCAGATCCGAGCTGTACCGTCCCTGCTGCCGCTCACAAACCTGCAACACAAGCGCG